TGAAACCCCGTCTCTACTAAAAAAAAATACAAAAAACTAGCCAGGTGAGATGGCAGGCGCCTGTAGTCACAGCTACTTGGGAGGCTGAGGCAGAAGAATGGCGTAAGCCTGGGAGGCGGAGCTTGCAGTGAGCTGAGATCCGGCCACTGCACTCCAGCCTGGGCAACAGAGCGAGACTCTGTCTCAAAAAAAAAGAAGTTTGAGACCAGCCTGGCCAACATGGTGAAACCCCATCTCTACTAAAACTAAAAAAAGTAATTGGGCTTGGTGGGTGTCTGTAATCCCAGCTACTCAGGAGGCAGAGGCAGGAGAATCGCTTGAACCCAGGAGGTGGCAGGTGCACTGAGCCAAGATCATGCCACTGCACTTCAGTCTGGGGTGACAATGTGAGACTCAAAAACAAAATAAAATAAAAATATAATAATTAGCCGGGTGTGGTGGCACACTCCTGTAATCTTAGCTACTTGGGATGGTGAGGCACAAAAATCACTTGAACCCAGGAAACAGAGGTTGCAGTGAGCCTAGATCATCAGACTGCACTCACAGCCTAGATAACAGAGACTCTGTCTCAAAAAAGAAAAACAAAACACGTTTCTCATGTGATAGATGAGTGAGGCGTGCCTGAATTCTTACATGAGGCCTGGAAGGGCGAATGGGAAGGGTTGGTCTTTATCACCCCTGTCTTTGAAAATTAGAGAAGCCTCTTTCACATGCCTGGGCCAAAGAAACTTCTTTACAAGGTTCTGATGCCATTGATTCCCAACATTTAATTTTGCCTTACAAGAAAAGCACAGTAACGTTTATAAAATGCAGAAGTGCGAATACACAGCTATTGACCTTGAAAACAGGGAAAGAGGGTCATCTGTGGAACTAAGACATCAGCAAATTTTTTCAACCAAGAATACATGGGTGGCCAGGTTCCGTGTGAGCCGAGATCACACCATTGCACTCCACCCTGTGCAACAAGAAGGAAATTCCAGCTGAAAAAAAAAAAAGAAAAAGAAAAGAAAAGAAAGAAGAATACATGGGTGCTTTTACAATAGCGTTCCATGTTGGGGAAAAGCTGAGTGTTGGAGAAAAGCTGAGGCAGGGCTTGCTAGTCTGACATAATATAAAAAGAGTCTTGGAACATGAAGGAGTCCAGGGTCTAAAACCCCCTGTGGCCTTTGGAACTCCAAGCTCTGTGCCAAAGGGTGGAAGGCTGCCCTCCGCATTACAATCTAAGCCCAAGGCAGAAAACCCTGAAGGGGGCTGGCCCCTCCACACCTGTGGGTATTTCTCATCTGGTGGGATGAGAGACTGAGAAAAGAAATAAGACACAGAGACAAAGTAAAAAGAAAGAACAGGGGGCCCAGGGGACCGGCACTCAGCGTACGGAGGAGCTGCGCCAGCACTGGTCTCTGAGTTCCCTCAGTATTTACTCATCACTATCTCTACTATCTCAGGGAGGGGGATGTGGCAGGACTACAGGGTAATGGTGGAGAGAGGGTCAGCAGGAAAACGTGAACAAAGGTCTATGTGTCATAAATAAATTTAAGGAAAGTGCTGTGCCTTGATGTGCACATGGGCTAGATTTGTGTTTGACTTTACACAAACATCTCCATGCAGTAAAGAGCAGTATTGCCGCCAGCATGTCTCACCTCCAGCCATAAGGTGGTTTTCTCCCATCTCAGAAAATGGAATGTACCATTGGGTTTTACACTGACACATTCCATTCCAGGACGACCAGGATATAGATGCCTTCCTCTTATCTCAACTGCAAAGAGACCTCCCTCTTTCACTCATCCTCCTAAGCAAAGAACCTTTATGGGTGTCGGGCTGGGGGACGGTCAGGTCTTTCCCTTCCCATGAGGCCATATCTCAGGCTGTCTCAGTGGGGGGAAACCTTGGACAATACACAGGCTTTCTTGGACAGAGGTGCCTGCAGCCTTCCGCAGTGCATTGCGTCCCTGGGTATTTGAGACTGGAGAATGGCGATGATTTTTACCAGGCATACTGCCTGCAAACACATTTTTAACAAAGCACAACCTGAACAGCCCTAAATCCATTAAACCTTGAGTCAACACAGCACATGTTTCTGTGAGCACAGGGTTGGGGCTAGGGTTACAGATTAATGGCATCTCAAGGCAGAAGAATTTTTCTTAGCACAGAAAAAAATGGAGTTTCTTATGTCTTCTTCTTTCTACATAGACACAGCCACGGTCTGATCTCTCATTCTTTTCCCCACAAACCCCTCATGGCTTGGATGGAATCCAGGGCTCAGGAAATAAAATGCCTCATGGCCTCTGGAATGTGCCTAGACTTGCTGGTTCCTTGCTTTTAGCACTTCCAGGCTCAGAAAACGGTTGTATCTTAAACTAGAATAACATGTTCCCCATGATCTCAAGTAGCAGAACATGTTCCATATAAATGCTAAACCACACACCTGTAGATCATGTGCTGGATGCACCACTTCCTTTCAACCCCCACAGTCGTACCACCTGCTTCTTTGTTTGACCACCAATAAATAGTGTGGGCTTCCAGAGTTCGGGTCTTTTGTAGCCTCCATACTAGCGTTGGCCCCCTGGACCCACCTTATGCATCCTTAACTTGTCTTTTCTCATTCCTTTGACTCCACCGGACTTCATAGCCCCTGCGACCTGGTGTTGGGTGTGGCCACCCCAACAGTTCCATGCCAATCCATCCCATCATTCAACATTAGTCCAGAAGGGACAAGAGGGCCTTGAGGGAAGCATGCACTTAATACCTTATAGCTCCTGGGCTCAAGCGATCCTCCTACCTCAGCTTCCTGAGTAGCTGGGATCACAGGGATGAGCCACCAAGTCAGGCAAGAGCAAAACTCCATCTTTAAAAACAAAAAAAAAAAGACTTTGACTCATAACCAGACCACCCACTCAATTACTCAATTTGTGACCAGGAAATAACCAACCTGATGTATGTTACAACCTCAAGTTTTCACCTGGTGAATAGTTTAAAATTCATGCAAGGTCAAAAGAAAGTCCCCTCTTAAACCAAACCAAGGTCCCTCCCTTTTACCGAGGGCCTATTTCTCTGTATTTTGATGCTTGTCCAGCAGCAGACCTAGACTCACCCGTCTGTGGTAACCTACCTGTACAGAGATACTATAGAAATGACTATAAATACGTATGCATGCCACCTTGTTCCCCTGGGACACCAGAAAAAGATGGTGAGGATTGCATATCGTGGCACCCCAGCACACAACAAAAGCCAATTATGCTTACCGAAATGCCGGCAAAACCAGATTGTGAAACAAAAACCTGTCGTCCTGTAAACTGCACCATTCTAAAGCCAGACTTACCGATGTGGACTGCAGGTTACCCCATACATGTCTCTACACACCAATGATTCCGAGTCTTCAAATCATTCCATAAGCACGTAGACCAGAAGTCACCAGTCTCCTCTTTTAGCTAAAAACCTGTTTGCTCGGGTAGCTGAAAACATTGCTAGCAGCTTAAGCATTTCCTCACGTTGTTTGTAGAAGGACTAACATAGGAGACCAGTGGCCTTAAGAAGCAAAAGACTTAATGTCACAAGATAATTTAACTCTGACTCTTCCCCTGAACCAATGCTGTCATGTTCAAGTGCCTCGCTCTTAAAAACTTCCATTATCAGGAGATACTGTGCTGTTCGCTAAGGAAAAGCTTTTACAGACTCAGTAGAAGAATTAACTTGTTTAAGACAGCAGTATTATAATAAAACACTAAAGAAAACTTCGTGGCAAGGCAAGGATGACTCCAGATCACCTCATCCAAATCCACTCTCCCATTTCTCTTCTCTAAACCGCATCTAGTATCAGCTTGAAGCTCCATATACCTGGCAAGCACCCTCCCGTCTCTATTAGATCTGTGGGCCACGGGCCTACCGACAGTGGCCAGGAAAGTGGACAAGGGCTTGTGTACTTGAAACCATTAGACCATGTTTCTTCTCACTCCCACTGCAACAGGGAGAACCTTGAAGGTATCCTGTCTACAATAACATTAAAGAAAAAAACAAAAGAGGTATAGACAGAAGAGAGGACATAAAAATAGAAGATTAGAAAGACACAAATTGGCCCCCTGAAAGACTAATTCAGTACTCTAGGCCA